CAAGGCAAAGAGAATAAACATACATAAAATGATCAACACTTTGTTGTCCAGGACATCCAAAAGTTTAGATTTCACTAGCCGTAAACATACATTGACCACGCTATAATATTATTAAGCTAAATTGACTAATGAAATGGCCACGGAGAGATTGACGGTTGAGATGGGAAGTTGGTGTCCGAGAGGATCGAGGTCACGATAGCTCAAGTGGTAGAGCAGCGGCGTATCAAGCCGAAGATCGTGGGTTCGAATCCCGCTCGTGCCATTGACTTTTTTTATCTCAACTAAAAACCTTAATTAATTGTAATTTATTAATTGGTCAAGCGGACCACGAAATTAGTGAATTTAATGATTTAAAATGAAGTATACTTCACTAAAGCTCTCCGTGGCCATTTCATTTGTCGTCGAGAATCCAATCCGATTACACGACATTTGAAAAATGGCAAAAAGGAGGGAAAATTCAAAAGGTGGGGTTGAGATGGGAAGTTGGTGTCCGAGTGGATCGAGGTCACGATAGCTCAAGTGGTAGAGCAGCGGCGTATCAAGCCGAAGATCATGGGTTCGAATCCCGCTCGAGCCATTGACTTTTTTATCTCAACTAAAAACCTTAATTAATTGTAATTATTAAGCTACCTACTTGATTTTCGTCATTGCAAAATCAAGTTAGAAATTTAAATAACGAATATAAATGTTTATTGTATGAAATATGAAACTCCTTCTCCTTTTATTTTGAATTCATTTGAAATACCACTCATTTATTGAACTTTCACCAACCTGTTTGTTTTAACTGTTTACTGCTAGTACCTATTGAACAACTGCCCGTACCCCTTTCAAGGCGAACAAACGTACAATTATTGTGAATAAACCCAATTATATAAAATCATGTGTGTAGGAAATGATTTTTATTCGTCTCAATTTACTATTTTGAACCTATCTTATTAGAGCTCAAAACGTACTCATGTACTAGTTGTTATTCCTACCTTAATGTAGGACCAAAGTGATCCTTAAGCTAACATACCTATAATGCACTCAATATACATTGATTCTGTTCGATTTCACGAACAAATAATTTATAAATAAGAAATACATAATTTAGAATTAAGAACATAACAGTTAAATCAACACTAAAATTAACGAATGAGTCAATAATATTAATAAATAAGTCCATCATATCTATTGACCAACTTACTTCCTTGAATTAATTAATCTTTTTATGTATTGCGAGGTGGACGCACGAGACACTTACTTTTGGGCCGCGTTTGTGTCCTGTATATAGATGCAGGTTGCTCGATGTGTCCTTGGCTCCGTATAGAGAGAGCGTAGGAATGCCACCCGACATTAGAATTATGCTTGAGAAGCGAGTTTCTGGGACCATGATTTTCTTTTCCAAGAGGCCGAGAGTAAAAACCAAAATGTCCCGATGCTGGGTCCCGAAGGCAAGTGTCCGAAAAAAATCCCTGCCTGCACTGTCCTGCTTATCTCCCCCCGACCTCTGACCTCTTCAGGCCTTAAGCTTGCAATTGTAAACCAAACTGTTATAATAGGAAATAATATATTTATGCGTGATTGAGAGTGCGAATGGAAGACTGATGGTCGACGAACGATGGTCTATTGATGACCTAACTGTTGATAGCCCCTGGAGCGCAACCCAAAACCCGAAAATTCTCGAGGGCCGCCGGTAATTTATTGGAAATCACAAACGCTGGAATTGCAGGTGGTAGGCGGTGGCGAGAAGTGGTAGGCTCAACTGTGCAAGTGTGTATGCATTTGAGACCATTTGAAAACCGACCATCTGGTTTTTGCACGAAAAAATGGTCAACTTTGGAAATGCATATATTCTCAAACTTTTAAATCACAGTCCTGCGCTAGGTCTCTTTTTTTTTTAGAAAAGTTCACGCTGAACAAGATGGCTTTTCTTAATGTTTTCCTAGCTTCAGTCATTCATCAGTAAATTCAAAAATTCGGGAACATGTTAATTTTTGCACTTTTTACGAAAACTTCGAATTGAGCTGTGGACCCGAGAAATAGTTTATGGAGCGGCTTTCAATGGGTCATCTTCCACTTTGCCCGATTTCTCAACCGTTTTCGAGTTATTCGTCATTTTGGGCAAAAACAGGGTTTTTACTGCTCATGGAAAAAACCGATCACTCTCTCTCTCATAATCTCATTGATTTTTGATCTTCATCACTGAAGCTAGGAAAACTTTTTTTTTGGTGGGCAGTGCATAAATCAGCAATCAGTTTTCAACCCAAGTCAATTGTTTAATGTTTATTAATTAATTACGCGTGGTGATAATCTGTAAACAAATTGGTCTATACTACGTTGTTCTGTAAGAAAACAGCATAAAATAGTTTTAATTTTAAAAATTATTTTCTCACGAACGACTTTTTTTAAACAAAGAAGGACCAAGGAGGTCAACGACGATCAATGTGTAGAAATATATGCACATATTTATACAAATGTTGATGTTTTGTTACTTAGACTTGTTAAGTGAATGAAGAGCTTCACTTATGAATAAAAATTTGCTTACAAAAGGATGAAAAGTAAACTCTTGGCAGCACAATACCGCTAGCGTTGGGGGGAGAGCGATATGGCCATTGACCGGTCGGTGTCTAAGGGCTTCGCAAAAAGAAGAGCGCGCTAAAGAGAATTATTTATAAACAGCTTCATGAAAGACAAACTGTTCTAATATTCAACATCATGAAAAATCCAGTTGCATTTGTAAATTTAAATAATTCAAAAGTTCTCCGTAAGTTCAAAAAATTTATTTTGGTTGGGGCGTGCTAAGTCGCTGAGATCACGGGGCGTTGCGACAAAAGGTTTGCTCGTAGACGACGGAAATGACTTCGGCTTGACATTATCAACATTAAAATTGAATATATATCATGAATTTTAAATGGAAATACAAAATTTAATTTAACACAATCCTTTTTTTGGCGTTAAATTAATTAGCAATTAGCTCAGGGAAATGTTATAAAAGCTGAAATGTACTTACACGGTGTCCTTTTTAGATGGTCTGACAGAATTTTTCTTGAATCAATAACGCTAGAAAAAAAATACACGTTTAATATTTTTTAGTGTAGTTTCAAATTCACTAGTGTTCGTGGTCCGCTTGACCAATTAATATCTTTCAATTAATTAAGGTTTTTAGTTGAGTTTTAGTTTAGTAGATATGCCGCTACTTTACCACTTGTGCTATCGTGACTTCGATCCACTCGGACACTAACTTGAAAAATGGCTAAAAGGAGGGAAAATTCAAAAGGTGGGGTTGAGATGGGAAGTTAGTGTCCGAGTAGATCGAAGTCACGATAGCTCAAGTGGTACAGTAGCGGCGTATCTAGCCGAAGGTCGTGGGTTCGAATCCCGCTCGTGACACAGGCTTTTTTATCTCAACTAAAAACCTAGTTTCAAATGTGTACCTTTTTTGGAGAAAAATTATACATTTTCCTCAGGCCCAGTTCAACTTCAAAATTTCAAATACGATCCACACATGCAGACACATCGTTTTAAAGGAGTTTGACGCTGAAAACCACGGTGCAATTGGATTATAAATTGGACAAAAAATGACAATTTGGCAAAACGAAACCGGCAGCGTAATTTCGATTAGGAGCGGAATATTTTTCAGTATGTTCGCAAAAATCCGACTTCCTCCCTTCGAAATGTTGAAAGGGTTTTAGGTTTTTCAAAAAATAAAATTAGATATGCACCCTGGACTTACAATTTTAAGCAGTATCGCTCTCATTTTGTCCACGGACTTCGGGACTCTGACTATGACAGGTTTGTAACATTCATTGCACAAATGTCAATTTGGGAGACTGAGGAAAACATTCTTCCGTAAATCTTACTCACTGATGAATCTAAGTTCACCTCTAAAGGCATACTAAACCGTCCGAATTTTTGAACGTGGGCAGAGGAAAATCCAACAATTCATACTCTTGTCATCATCATCAGGTGGTATGATCAACGTTGGGTGTGGACTTCTCGGAAATACATTAATTGGGCCTCATTTCTACGAAAATAATTTAAATGGTGCACAGTTCCTCAATTTTTTGAGGGAGGTTGGACAAACACTTTTAACCAACTGTTTAATGACGTTCCTCTGCAACAACGTTTAGAATGATTCTCCAGCTTGATGGATGCCCCGCCCACAATTCTTTGCAGGTGAGACGTTATTTGAATCGTCACTTCCGGTATGGGTGGATAGGATTTCATGGCCCGATCTGTTGGCCTCCTCAGTCACACGATTTAATTCCACTTTGGGGCTATTTAAAAAAAACTGTCTGCGCCAATCATAATCCAGCAACCTCAGTCGAAGAACTGCAGCAAAGGATAGAAAATGCTTGTCAATCCATCTTCCCTAACTTTACCGCTCTGAGCACCGGTGAAGAGATTTTAAAAACAGAAAAATCTTTGCATATTTACGCAAGGCAGTTCGAACATGATGATTAATAAATAACGAAGTTTATATAAGTTCAAACTTTTTGCCATAACTTTGTCATTTACCAATTTAAAATCCGATTGCATCATTGTTTTCAACGTAAAGAATCCTTTAAAATTCTGTGTCAGGATATCTAGTGTCGCAATTGAAATTTTGAAGTTGAATTTGACCTGAAGTACCCGATATATTTTTTCACCAAAAAAATATAGAAATTTTAAACTAGACTAAAAATATTAAAGACTTTTTTTCATAGCTTCATTGATTAAAGAGAAATTCCGCCAGGCCATCTACAATGGGCGCCCAGTATTACAGATGGTTAAAAGCAAAAGAAAAACAGCAATAATGTTATGTGTTTGTTAGATCTGGATGTCTGTTGTACTGAAGACAATTGTTAACGTACCAGGCCAGGCAGCCGTCTTTCACATTGACCGATGGTGTCGTATCAAACACGCGTCTGATCATGATTAACGAGGATAGAAGGTATGAGTCTCGAATATGAAACAGTTTACAATATTCGCACTCGGTAGAAATTTTTTACGGCCGTGTTTTTAGTTTCAACACTTTCTCCCTTGAGATATAGAAATTATGGCAAGCACAGGGGAAGGAAGAGAACGACTCCCTTGAGACCTAACGCATTCTAACAGATGGGACTCAAGGCAAAGGACGGCAATGTTGCGCAGGAGGGCAGCAGATTGCAGCAGAGTTCCCTCCCCCTCGGTTTATGCACATGGCATGGAGCAGACCGGCAAGACCTAAACAAACCAAGTCAAGACTGACGGGAAGCCATTGCCTTCTACGGATCCGGCCTGTGAACATGTCGACATGATGTTGGCAATTTACGTATGCCTGGCGTTTGGATATACGGCCGTCTACGGTAAGATTAACAACTGGTAATCCTCTTGTGTGAGATTTTATATGTAGAAATTCCCGGCGTGCCTTTCGGGAAGCGTAGTTTTGAAGCGTTTTTGAACTTTCGGCGTGAACCTCTTGGCGAATTTTTTAATCTAAGTTGCCTGCTTTGACAGCTACCTGCGGCTGTCGTGGCTCGGTGGATCAAATGAGATTGTGTTTTTAAGAAAACAAACTGGACGAAAGGGCAGGTGCGATCGCGGAGGGCTTATCCGAGGGGGGTGGTTCGATCGATCGTAACAATGCACTCCCTCCCCTCTTAGTCATATATATTCAACACGATCACGACCAAAACTCGACTCTACTTCCTAACGTGATTCTATTTGTTATTTTGACTCAATAAAGATGTTTACTTTTGTATTTGCACAAATCTTTCTAGTCGGTACCCAGACGCCCGGCGGCCATTTTAACATTCGATACGAAATCTTAAGCAAATTTTCATTATTTTTAAAAACTTTATGACTAACGTTTTGTAGATTTATAGGCCAACTTATGCAGATTATGTTCTCTTAGTTGTTATCGGGGATGTAGTCATATATATTTTATATGTAATAACTTTATAAGTAATAACCTTTATAAATAATGACATATTATATAGAAATAATGGACTTTCTTTTGCAAACGAACCCAAACAAAATAGGTACAAATTTCAGTAAAGACTTACTTTGCCAATATAATTAGTGATTAGCTATATACATATATACTATCTTTACTGAAATTTGCATGTATTTTGTTTGGGTTGTTATGCAAAAGAAAGTTCATTATTTGTCTACGATATGTCATTATTTATAAAGGTTATTATTTATAAAGTATATGTATATATACATACATTTAATATAATTGCAATTATTACGCAAAATATTCCTGTTATCATGGCGTATAATCGAAAACACCTCGAATTTCAGCCTTTCTTTGACCTTAGCTTTCGCTATTAGTCAACTGCTCTTTCGTATCCTCGTATCGTCCATATCCTTACTGACCCCAACCGCACCATACCAGGTCCGGCGTCCCTGGAGGCAGAGAAGGATTTCATTGGAGACATGGAAAATGCGCTTAAGACAAGAAACTATTATACCGTGAGGATGTAATTATTTACGTTTTTTCTGTTAAATTAATATATTTCATTCATAAATAAAACTTAAGATTGCTCTATAAATTTCAAGGTTTTGTAAGTATAATAACATTTTATAATTAGACGGCTTTTCAATTGACATCATTTGTTATAACGCATTAAATAAATTCCCTCGTTCTTTTGCGAAACTGGAACAGATCATTATGACATTACATGGTTCGCAGAGGTCAGTCTGTCTTTGGGCGATTTTTTTAGGTATAAGCCACATATGGCGTGATTAGTTCGGATCCCAATAATATTAGAGCCTTATGGTAAAATTACCGTCTTTATACCACGGAGTTTTGTTGATACGGGGGTTGATAGATTGGTCGAATTTGCCTGCCGGGATGTCCTTCCAGTGTAGATGGAGTTTCAGCCTTCGAAAATTTTGTTTTTCATCTGCATGCCAATCAGACACTTTCTCTTATCTCGTGCGCCTATCTTCAATATTATGTATGACCGTACGTACCAATTTTTCAAGTTTCTTTCAATAAGAATTCAATTACGCTCAGTTGTTCTTTTGTGATTCACCACGTTCCCACCCTCTCCTCATTCCGATTCTCCTCTAGAACTCAACTAGGGGGCAACCGCGGATGAGTGAAAACGCAAATAACGAGAGTCTACTGCATATCAAAAAACAATCGGGCAAGAGACCGGTTAGAAAGAAAATTTTCAGTTCCTTCGTCGGGCTTTCGAGGTTGTTTCAGTATTGTATTTAGATGATCATATTTGTTACACTTGTAAATTATTAATTACAATTTCAAAGTGCTGATGAAAAGAATATATCCCTTAAAAAGCACCGCGAAGGAATTGGGTATTTCTCTCTAATTTGATTTGGATTTATATAAGTTCAAATATGCACATGTATGTACATGTGTGCACATATGTACAGAGTTAAGCCTATCACTTCTCGCAGTCCACCTATCAATTCCAGGTTTTTAATTTTAACCGGCAGACGTTAAGAATCATCCACTACTGGGTTGGAAGTCCGGAGTCTGACCTCGGTCTTATCTGTCCATCCGAGGTTGGGCTCCGGTTACTGTCAACTGCTAGGACAATTCAGCAACCTACGTATTAGATATTTATTCATAGACTTCTACATATATTATGTAAGAACCTAATTAAGGTATTCAATATCCCACCTTCGACGCTCTCACACTATACATTCACATCAGTAAATACATTCACTTACGCTAGGGACGCGAAACTATCATTACTATATACAATAAATCAACTCTGTACCCTCCAAAAATCGGAACACAGAAACCAGATTTTCATATCATCTTTTGGGATCCGGAAGGGATCAGTTCGTTGAAGAATGGAATGTTGAAGTCGTTGTGAAGTAAGGATAGTGATGTAGTAAGGAGCGTTGCCTGAGGATATTTGAAGGGAAGGAATTAACGGGCTGAATGTTTGATGGCTTGGCAATTCCACTCCTTATGTCCAAAGTGGTAAATTCTTCTATAAGGGTTAGTGCAGCGTTGACTGTCAGATAGATTTCAGTCCTAGACGTTTGGACAGTTGACCAAGTCTTTATTAAATTGTTTTCTTAAGTATTGCGTGAGAATTCCACGTTAGCCTGCCGTCTAGGTATAGTATTTGACTTGAATGGTAATCGTTATCTGTGATGTTGATGTACAGTGGAGGGCAGACTATTTTTCAATGTAAACGTACACTGAATACATTTTTCCTCGTTCAGTCTTGTTCACTTTTTGCACCAGGCTTAGATATGCTCAAAGTGTTCTCGGTTGTTGGAGGGAGCTCGGATTAGATTCGTGTTAGAGGACAAAATTGCGGTATCGTCCGCCTAAGTAGTGATGATGGATTAGGATGTATAGGTAGGTCGTCAGTATAAACGATATAAAAGACGGTACCAAGAATGCTCCCTTTTGAGACGCCGGCTTGTATTTGCCTGACTTCCGAACACTCGGTGACGCACCTCACTCTGAAGGAGCGGCCGGTTAGATTCGATTTCAGGGATGTCTAGAGCAGACGAGGTAGTGTCGATAACTCTGAAAACCTCTTGGATCGCGGAATGATGAGAAAGGAAGCCCAATTAGTGAGAGATGACATTATGAGTATCTAAGGGCTTCAAAAGAAGTCTTTCAAGGATTTTGGACATCAAAGAAGGCTGATGGATCTGTAAAGGATATATGGTTGGATATATGTGAGTTTTAGGGATGAGAATAACAACGGAATATTTTCATAAGACAGGAAAGTGGTTAACTTCGGAGAATTGCATTATATATTATGGTTAAGAAAACCACTGTTGGAAAGTTTCGTAGTATGGTAAAGGTAATTAGATCAAGCCCAGTGGATTTTCTACTTGGGAATTGTAAACGTACCTATACTTCAGGATGAAAAGGGTTGAGAGGGAGATGACGAGGAAAGCTTTTAATATTTTTCTTCAAACATTAATGTAACATATTCCAATACGTTTTCTTCTATTTTTCTTTGTAACATATTTTCCTTAGACCGAAACTGAAATCACAATTTATAAATTATTTGAGACATTTATTTACTTACTTCGTTATGAAAAATTTATCGTTATCACTTTAATTTGATTTTTTAATAATGAATTTATTGCAATTATTTATTTCCTTGCTTTATAGAAGAATTTTTAAGTTTCAAAGCTATAATAAAGATAATAATATATATATATATATATATATATAACTTCATGTAATCTTTGATTTTATGTGTTCAGGGAGTCCTTTTGAATATGGCCAGGCTGAATTTCTCTAGAAACAATGACGCAATAAAAAATTAAAATAAAATAATAAAAAATACGTTTTAAATATTTTTTAAAATTTAATTTATATGGGGTACCTTATGCCCAGTTTGACTTCAAAATTTCAAATACGACCTTATACTTCCTGACACATTATTTTAAAGGATTTTTTACGCGATCCGATTGCATAATTATTTTCAGCGTTATAAAATTTACTTTAAAATAATGAGTAAGGTATAGGGTCGTATTTTAAATTTTGAAGTCGAGCTGGGTATGAGGTACCCTGTATAATTTTTCTCCAAAAAAGGTAAAAATTTGAAACTAGACTAAAAAATACTAAAAACCTATTTTTTAACATTGGTTGAAGAGAAAATCAGCTGGGACATCTAAAAAGAATATAGTATAGGTGATAGTATACGTATTTTCACATTTAATAGGCAGTCGAATATTGGGTAAGGTAAACAGATATTAAATTGATTTTTTAAAAATCTAAATTTTAGTAAAATTAATAGAGGCTTATTATCAAAAATTCATATAATAATAAATTTGATGTTTGTTTTTTCTAAGCATTAAATTGTAGCTAGTTATACTAAATGTTAATCAATGAAGTTCCAAGTGACCCATCGTGATTCCCCTTCAAAATCCAATCCGATTAATTTTCAGTTCAACACACCCTCCTCTTCTAATTAGTTTTGGTTGCTAATTCCCAAAGATTTTTATTTGAAAAACTCTATCAAAACGTGCAGGCTACAGGGGTTTTAGTTAATACGTCCTATGAATATAATAAATATCATCGTTATTGTTACTGATGGTGATTAAAGCAAGAAAAGCGCTATCACATCCATGAATGCCTAATGGCATTTTCAATAACAAGAACGCTAAAATATTTCAAAGCCGGGTGAATTTGTTTTATCTCGTGGTTGTAATAAAGACAAGGAACCTGCTTGCAAAAGCAACTAAAAGGCACGTTCTTTGAGAAATGGAATGTCGTTGAAAGGAAAGTACGATGACATTCAGCAGCTACTTTGACATATAAAGCATTATTTTACCTTTATATTACCAACGAGGTCATTACATCGCAACTAAAAACTAATATTGTTTCTTTCTGGCCTTTTATTTAGTA